AGTGTTCCCTTTATTTTTTTGAGCAGTAGTGTTCCCTTTATTTTTTTTGAGCAGTGTATTTTAATAAATGAGTATTTGAAAGAGGCCTGGGTATGGTGATTGAGGCTTAAACTCTTTGTCCTTTTTTAAAACCACCACCTCTATATCTAAAGTCTACAAGTTTTCTGCACATACAGTGAAATCTACACTGTACTAAACTTTGGACTTAACCTCTGCCCTCAACCCAGCTTTAAAACTTTACACTGAAATACCTACGCTGATTAAGTGTTATTTTTTGAGAAGAAAATAACCTTATTTGACTTCATAATTGCTCAGAGAGGCAGCTGTAGTTCAGATATCCAACTGTCTCTGCTGCAGTTTAATGATGATTTGGTAGTAAAAGGTTAAATAAGATGGGTTCCTGTTATTCCTCCCTGCAGGTGTATTGTCTGTCTGTTGAAATGTGTTGCATGGACAACAGTTTGTTTTGCAGCTGCTGAATATAACCCAGTAACTGCTTAGTTTCTGGCCTACTGCCACAAGTTAGGATGTCAGGTGAAGTCTGTGTTAAATTTGTCACAGCGTATTGTCAGTTTCATTGCAAAGCACAGAGCTTCTTCTGAAACATTACACCTTGTCTCTGGAGTCATGAATGTTTGGTTTGGATTCAATAGCTATGTTTCCATCTTTTTTTTAATGCGCATTTTGAAGTATCGCATCAGAAAAGGTGAATGGAAATGGCGTGATTAAATAAAATTACTCTTAATTCGCAAAAAAGTTGATACGCTCTCTTGAGGTGGGGTTTTTTTTTTTTTTTGAAAAAGAGAATATGCAAAAGGAGAGATGGAAACACAATTGCAAAACAAGTTCTGATGTAGCGAACATTTACCTGACATGGTTAATAAAGCTGTTCCYGCTGCCTGAAAGGTACCGGACCGATACCAGGGCGACTGCAGCTAGACCCTCCTCCCGCTGTCGGCATCTTCTCAGTTATTCCTGTAACATGAAGAGGATTGCATTTCTTTATATGTCTCCAGACAGCATGTAACATCGCCAGAACTAGTTGATGTGAAAGAATAATTACAACTTTCCTGATCGTAGCAACACGTTTCTGATAACCTCTCTCCATTGTCCTGAGATGTGGACCCTGCGAGTTTGACTTTTACTTCCTGTTTACTACATGCATGCGTCTGACATAACTGATTCGCTCAATATTCAGATGGTAACGCGGTTAATGAAGCTGCACCCTGGAGTATTCAGGGGTGACTTTATTCCCCTTGCGTTATACAGCTGATCTGGAGAAAATGCCACTGGAGAAAATGCCACTGTTAAGTTTAGCAAGTCCTGACGCAATCTTTTTTTTCTCTCTTTCTCTACAGGTTCTGTTCCAGCTCTTAGCTGAGGATTGGCATCTCCTCCATTACCACTGCTAAATTCCTGAGCAGCCATGCCTGTAGCGCTTGGTGGACCGGTGGGATACACGCCACCTGAAGGTGGCTGGGGCTGGGCTGTAGTGGCTGGTGCCTTCATCAGCATTGGCTTCTCCTACGCCTTCCCCAAATCCATCACAGTCTTCTTCAAAGASATTGAGGTCGTCTTTGATGCCACACCAAGTCAGGTTTCTTGGATTTCCTCCATCATGCTGGCCGTCATGTACGGAGGAGGTAAGACACTGCTCTGCTCCTCATGATCTTTTTGTCATTTTGTAACCTGAAAGTTCACTGGTTTGATCTTTAATACTCAGAATTATACTTCTGTCCCTCGGTGAACAAATTTCAGTGAATCAACAAAAGAATTTTAATTGTGATTTTAAGAAAACATCATTCTAGACCTTCTGTAAATTCAAAGGTAGAAAGCATATCAGTGAACAACGAAATAGTGCTGGGCGGTATGACCCAAATTTTATGACGGTATTTTCAACAAGTATCACGGTATTTGATGGTATTTTTCTTTTCATCACAGCTCAGCTGATAAAATGTACGAACACTGCTTATTGATTAACAAACCTGAAGTTACTCTTTCTGCAACACAAACTATTTAACTTTAACTGTACCTCTGTCTGTTTCCCTCCTCTACATGTCGTTACTTCTTTGCCTGCTTGTAGACAGTAGTCATGTATTTTGGTACAGCCGTGAAGGAGGAAGATTTAGCAAAGATAATTATCGGATCTATCATTTTGCTATTAAAGCTTAAAGGGATCCCCAATTAGTTAGACTTTATTTGATAAACATATATTTTAACTGTAAAATAAAGACTAAAAATACTGTAGGATGTTTAGTTTTGTACATTTAAAAAAAACATATTTTAACACGGACTGAGCAATTTTATTTACATGCAAAGCATTCTGGGTAAATGATGACGTGGGTAGGTCTTCGGTGCGAGGCTGCTAGCGAGCTATATCCACCCTGAAGGTTAATCTTGGACAATATCTGATGATTGGCTCTTTTAAATGAAACCAGAGAGCGTTGACAGAGAGGAGAAGGTAGAAATGACTCAGCCTGGAACTGAAAATATGGATGGAGGACAACAGAGCTGCTTCATGGAAGAAGAACCTCAGCTTAGCCTGTTAGCCTTTGTGCTAGCACTGACGCTATATTGCCTTATATGTATTAGCTCGGTGCTAACGCGAAAACAAGCTAAACTGAGGTCTTCTTCCATATTTTCAGTTTGTCTTACAGCAGTTAAAGACCCTTATTGCTTTAAATGTGTGAAGTATTTACAAAAAATGAATTTAGTGTACTTATAAAATCTTCATTTGTCCTCCCCAACTGCATCTGTCTATGGTATGGAAGACATTCTGACTGTGGTGTATTGGATGATGTAGATTATTTTAGTCTAAAGTAAGGCTTCAGCTGATCATTTTGGTATCTTACAATTCAGTCCTTTTTTAATATGGCAACAATTGTTTGTTTCCTTTTGGTGCACCTCCTGTTCTGTGCTGCAGGTCAGGTTTTACCTCACCTGCTTTAATGTGTCCACCTGTAAATATCACTTTCATTAGTCAGTACAGACTAAAATGTAGTCTCTGTAATTCTAGACAAAGTGCTAATATTTCTGTGGTGTTTGCATGTTCTCCTCGTGCTTGCGTAGGTTTTCTCTTGGTCCAGTTTCCTTYCACAGACCAAAAACGTACAATATATATGTATTGACTTCAGGCCCAGGCTGCCCTTGGAAAATAAATGTGATGTTAATGGGATTTGCCTGATTAAATAACTTTAAAATAAATATTAAACTACACCAGCATCTTTTCCCACATACATTGGAGTCGGCATAACCTTTCACTTTAAGACAAAACACTGACTGTGAATCATCATGACTAGAGGAGTCTATTTATAGCTCTTTATCCAAGTCGACAATACACATTTGGTTGTGCGTATTTGACTAAAGATACAGCAACTACAACAACCAACTCACTGCAGCATTTTTGTTTTGTTGAATAAAATGTTTATATTGACAACCTATTAAAAGATCAGAATCAGCCATACAAAATCCAATCAGCTGTCCTTTTTGAAGTCTGTTCTACATAGCTTGTAGAATTTAATGTCCACACTGGTTACAAAAATTGAACTAAACCTACTTCACAAAAATTACTACAACTTAAAGATTTTCATTGAGCTTTCTAGTACTTTCTACAGGAGTAAATATTCTGTAAAGGCTAAAGCGTGACTTTTTAGGTTCTTAAAGGCTTAACTGGTTTATTTTTTACTCTTCAGTGAAGCGAGACWAATACATGTTCAATTATTGTTTAAATACACTCTTCCTGTTAACTGGAGTAACACTTTAAGCTGAAGTCTGACTCAGAGATAATGTAGAAATGCCTACATTTTAATTACAAGTGGTATTACAACACAAGCACCTTTTTTTGTCTGCTGTAATCCTGTTAAAACTGCTGGAACACGTACTTAGCATTTCTATCCTTAAAAGGACTATATATTGAGTAGGGCTGCCACAATTAGTCGATTAATCGACGACTGATCAATTATTAAAATAAAAGATGACTAATTTAATAATCGAATAATCGTTTTTTGGGGTTTATTTTGTTCTTTACTTTGTTTTTCTCCAAACTGCTTTGACACCTTCCACTGCCACATCTGCCTTTCTGTCCTTGACACACATGTACAGCAGTGGTAACTGGGGTAGGCTGTGGACGTCACAAGACATTATACAGACAGGCCCTGGTATAATGGCTACCTGKCAACGGAGCTCAAAAGTGTGGGATCATTTTAAGAAAATGAAAGGGAAATCTGTGCAATGCAAGAACTTGCCTTCCACAGCAATATTTTTTTAGCATACAGCTAAAATTTGATGAAGGTTATATAATAGCAGCTGCATTCTGGCACGATAAGCTGTATGTTTTATATTCAGTTAGAGTATGATCTGATTAGTCGATTAATCGAAAAAAATGATGGGGGGGGAACACATTTGCTGAATAAGTTGTGATCAGCTGCTGGCATCTTCCCAGATATTAAATAAATAAAATTAAAAATATAATTAAATAATTAATTTAATTAATAATTAAAATAAAATTTTCTGTACGTCTCTGGACACCATGCAACATCAATACTAGATAGGACAAATTAATTAAAACTTGACTGATTAAACACATTCCTGAAAACTTATCTCCATTTTCTGRGTGTGTGGTCCCATCTTGTTTTAAACCTCTGCTTCCTGTTTACTACCGCCGTGCCTAAAGTCAACATGTTTTACTTAGCCAGTAGTGCTGGGCGGTATACCGTTTTGTACTGAATACCGGTTTTTATTTTTGTTATATGAATTTTTTGAATACCGGTTTAAATAGCGGAACGCTGCGTCACGGCTGCCAGTGAACTGTTGTTTCCCGGGGGACATTTTTCCTTGCTGCACCGCTATGTGCGTTAGCATGCTAATGTTTGGAGCAGCTAGTTGCAGCAGCGGGTGGCGATTCCGCTGATTATATTGACTGACGTTTAATAAAACATCCCGTTTTCGCCGTCGCTGAATGTAATAAACATCTTTAGTGACGTGCACAGTTAGATTTAACGCGGTTAGTTAATATGGAGACGTTATGCTGATGGAGACTTAACGTGGTTCTATTGTGAAAAGCCCGCAGGAAGTAGTTCGTAGTGGAGTTAGAATTGACTGGTGTGCAAGGTGAGTCGTGCTGATAAGCTTTAAAAAAATAACATAAAATAGACCCGATCATAATCTTTTCTTAACCCGGGGGGGTGGCTGCAGACATGAAAGCGCCCGCTGAGCAGCAGGAGGAGAGGAGAGCGGAAAAAGTTCAAAACTTATTTCTAGCGGCAGAACAGGTTAAAAGATGGCTGTCTTGTGTTATTTATTGTTTTTGTTATCATCATACAGGCTCTGACATGTTAGATAAATTTGAAACTCAGGTTTTGAAAAAATCCGTAAGACTTGAAAAAATCCGTGAGATTGCTCTATACATCCGTATACCTGCAAAATGACATAAAATCCTTATAACTTACAGACAATCCTTACAAGCTGACATGTATGAGCAAGGTTTGTACATTTTATAATCAGCTGAGCTGTGATGAAAAGAAAAATACCGTCAAATACCGTGAAACCGGTGAAAATGTTGAAAATACCGTGATAAAAAATTTTGATCATATCGCCCAGCCCTATTAGCCAGGTTGATTTGCTACACACCGGTAGATGGAAACGTGTCATTTGTAGTGTTGTGGCATTTTAAAAGTTATGTAAGTTAATTTGCATTCCAATCGGATGGAAACATGCCTACTGGCAAGAAGTACCATAATCTCCTGCTGTGAAATGATCCTAAGTTCAGTGTAACACAGACATCTCATCTCAGCTACCTTGATCTTCAGGAGCTATTCATGCTATGATTTGAACTCCAGCCTCAGTCTTTAAACGTTTGTCCCCTATTCTTTGAGAGGCAATCTATTCTTTTGCTTCTTTAAACTCGACATTTCAGAGACAAAGCACACAACACTCTCAGTAAAAGGACCATTAATCTGATAACATTATGTTGGTGACCATAAAGATGAGCGTCTAGTGAAACCTGACCTGGACAACTAGCTTTCCAAATCGGTCTGTTGTTTTGAAAAGCTCTTGGTTGTGTTATGAAAACAACCTCCCTTTGACATGTTCAGGCCAGATRAGACTGGTCAGGTTTCAGGACGATTTGGGTTTCCCTTCTCTACTCGAACACAAAACTCATTTTCTTACTCCCTCTTCCTCTTTGTATTCACTCAGCACTCCACTGAGCTCATCTCTATTCCTCGGAGCAGAAATTATGCTTGCAGTTGGGTTCATGAAATTTAGGGTTTAGGACACGGAACTGCTGAAGGGGAGGAATGAAATTGTGTAACAGGAACCAGATGTAGAAATTATTTTCTCCTTTTTTTGTCATTTACTTGGTTTTACAATTCATTTAGTTATAATAAAATCACTTAGATTAGAGTGTTAGAACCCAAAACCTGAATTGTCATAGTGGGTGGTTATACCAGTCAGTGGCTGGTTACAGATGAGTCAGTGGAGGGTATGCTCTGTAACGCACGTACACCAGTTTCCTTGAATGTAAAAGGAAGGATTACATCACCTACAGCTGAGCGAACAGGAAGCTACGTAAATAAGAACGGATCATTAAAGTGAGTCTGTACTGCCAGGGTGGGAATCCCCCGATCTTTCGGCCAGGTATTAG